TATAGAAGAAGTAAGTTATCTGTTGCAAGGTACATCTTCATTTACTACGCAGACACGTTATTATAGAAGAAGTAAGTTATCTGCTGCAAGGGACATCTTCATTTACTACGCAGACACGTTATTATAGAAGAAGTAAGTTATCTGTTGCAAGGGACATCTTCATTTACTACGCAGACACATTATTATAGAAGAAGTAAGTTATCTGCTGCAAGGTACATCTTCATTTACTACGCAGACACATTATTATAGAAGAAGTAAGTTATCTGTTGCAAGGTACATCTTCATTTACTACGCAGACACGTTATTATAGAAGAAGTAAGTTATCTGTTGCAAGGGACATCTTCATTTACTACGCAGACACATTGTTGAAGTTCAGCCATATACACAGTGCTCTAAAAGTTTGTTGTCTCAGATAAGTAAACTAGTTATTCTTAACTGTATTCTCTTGTAATATGATGTACAGATGTATATGAAAAATGCTAACACCGAGCACACAGACTGTCAAGAGACAAAAGCGTTTTGGTTCTGCAAATCAAATATTGTTCACACAGAAGTGGATTACGTTACGAAACTAAAACATGTAAAAGATTTAAATACAAAAGTGGAAAACAGCTTATTTTGTATGTTTTTCAGTTTCCAGAGTTTATCAGCACAATCAGACTTACAGACTAATCTACTATATAATTAATTGAAAGAATAAAAATACTTAACAACAGTTAAGTTATGAGAGATGAGTTATAGAAGGAAAAATGATTCCCTTTCTTATATTTGTTGAATATCAGCAGATTTCGGTCAATAAGTTAACGTTAAGTCGGTCAATATTCATTCACATCTACAAATTGTTTATGCCACAAAATAACGCCAGGTCCAGTATAACTCGTAAGGACTTCAATTTAGACATTTGATAAACAATGCTGTATATCGTTCCGCCTAACACTCATTCAATTTTACTTTTTTTATCTTTTTCTTTAGAGGTAGTATGTGTAAAAAACATTTCTAAACAATGTCCTAAAAGCACCTGTTCGCAATCGTGTTCGTGAAAGCACTCCCACATTTTACCAAACAGAGCTTACGTAATGTTAGAGGAATTCTGTGGTACTTGATGTGTAGTTGCCTGCATTATCACCGTTGTATGTTTGTTGTTTACAATATGTTGTGGTTGTATTAGAAGAGAAAAAAAATCAATCATGTTTCTGAACGCTCACGTGTGTTTTTGTATCTTAAAGCTATTGGAGATCGATATGAGACTCCATTCGGTGAACAAAATGTAAAAGGAATCTACAAAAGCACTTGAAGAGTACAACCCTCACCCAGTAATGTTTTAGTTTTTATTTTTACAATTTTTCAGTCCTAAAATATACATCAAACAAATCTCAATCTTTAAAAATGTAGATTTTGGGGCCAAGGGATTCTTTCTATTTCAATTAGTTTTTGGCGTTTTCCAAAATCTCAGCTTGCTATTATTATAACAAAAGTGGTTAATTGACCAACAATGTGACTTTGAGCTTTGTGTTATGTTCATCAAAAGTTAATCAATTCAATCCTAATAAAGAAACTATTTTGTGACTTACAAAATCCCAATGTAAAGTTTAATGTTTCATGAATAAAAATAGTGAAATTACTTTACTTAGGGAAAGTTGAATTAAACTTTGATCTTAAAAGCAATGTAATTATTGTTTATCAAGAAAAATTAAAGATTGTAATCTGTATATCATGTCTTAATAATTTTCACTTTAATGCACTCAATCTTTAAGTCTGAGAAATATTCGGTAAATTATTTAATTACTTTTTTTTTTTACTTTAGAATCTGTTAATTGTACATAAACCTCAACTTAACCTACTTAAAGTGGCACAGCATCATTTATAAAACATTTCAAAGAACCTTGAAACTTAGAAATAGTTTTATTGCCATCATTCATGTTTGTAAGTTGTTCGATAAATTCATGAACGTCACTTGTTAATTCCGTAACAACCTGACGTTATGATTTTAAGCAACAACATAAATAAGATATCTCGAACTAGTACACTATGTAGTAATCTGTTCTATGTGGTTGTTAAACAGCTGAATAACATATTTTAGTAATTATAAGCAGCTAACACTGTTGTCAATCTGCACTATTACAACTAACGTTAAAAAGAACGCAGATTCAGAAACTGGAATAACACAACCAAGAGGAAACATTACCTTGAATGGTATTGTTTCGTTCCTTAGCAGAGTTAGTGTTCCATCAAATACAGAAACTATAAAACAAGGAAATGCATTAAAGTGTAGTTTAAAACGTTCAAGGAATATTTTGGTATACATTAATAAAGGATATGTTACAACAGGTCAAGTTTGAGAAATAATAAACGAACTTACATATTATTGGGTCTAACAGCAACATAATATTAATCTTGTACCTCCAACGTTTTGGGACTCATACCCAGCCGTTTACGCGTGATGTAAAGTGGGGAATTGTATTCGAAGATGCCGTCGTCCAACTGAACTTGTAACCTGGTAACCAGTTCTCATGAAAAGAGAAAAGTGCGCGCGGCTAGGGTACGTCTTTGCTCATTCCATCAAGTAGGCGTGGTTTAGATAGCTTACGTTTGAGAATCCGCGATTCAAATATGAGTGAAGAAACCGTATAGCAATAATTATTCTCTCAAGATTCTGAAGAATGATAGAAGTAATAAAACCCAACGTTGGTGAAAATAAAACAGCTCGTATTATGAAGTATCAATAACTCTACAGAACGAAGTTGTTTTTTAAAATCCTATTTCTTGTGAACCACTCGATGACAAAACACATTTTTACATTAATCTTTTACTGGCAGGTACGTCTTTGGAGGGTGTTTACTAAATATGTCACTCTACCTAGGAAAACCATCTTCAAAATAACGATGAAAGTTTACTAATTTCAACCAGCCATCGGATGCATTCATGTTGACTGTTATTTGGACTTTCTTTCTACCTAATTAAATTTACAGTTACAAATCTCGAATTAAAAAAAAAAAGAGATTCACATACTCAAAAATGTCAGCCAACTCTCTCCTTTTAAGTGAATCAGGAAGTAATTAAACATTGTGAATCTCATAAAGAAAGTATTTCATTAAAATGTTAATGAAGATCCTTTGAATTCTAAGGCGAAAATAGCATTTTAGTATTGTTTAGACAGTTTATGTTTACAGTATGTAACGAAACATCTTGTATTATACAAATATACATAAAGAAGAATATATATATATTATGTGTCGAAAAACCGACTTAGTATTGTTTAGACAGTTTATGTCTTCAGTATGTAACGAAACATCTTGTATTATACAAATATACATAAAGAAGAATATATATATATATATATTATGTGTCGAAAAACCGACTTAGTATTGTGAATCACGACAAGCACGAGCAGTTTATTGTCTTTTGTAGGAACGATTTAAAAACGTCAGTACAAAGGAGTGTCATAGAAGCGAGCTGTGGAACCAATGGCGAAATATTTAGCATATGGCAACTGGATCTACTGTGGTTGGAGAAGTATCTGTCACAACCCTTTACGAGGTAATATATTCATATAGCCAAAGGGCACAACATTTAGACGAAAGAAACCTATACAGTTTTTCCTGGAAGCAGACAAATTGCACAGCTGAGTGTTTAGGACAGTAACTCTGAAGCTACATCTCAAGCCAATCCAGAGGAATTTACTCCTCCACAGAGAGGAGGGTATAGTTATTAAATATAACACTCCGATTCAGAAAATCAACGAGTTGAAGCTGTTAATATCCCCGGGTATTACACAGCCTGCGAATTTAAACTTCATAAAGGTTGTTTCGGTTTTATTAACGGATTTTCCATAGTTCAGCTACGCAGATTTCGAAAATAATATTCATTTTTTTCTGTCACGTAAGGATTGTTTACAAATCGGGAAGAAAAGCTCTTACTTAGATCAAACTATTACATTTATTATTATTAAACAGTTATTTGTTATGTTTGGGTTCTAGAACGATCGATAAGACTTTCACGTCGCGATTGGTCTAGAGAAATCTATAGCCAGTGGTTGTTAACATTAAAATGGTAAAAAGCATAACAAAATGTGACTCGATTTCAATTAAAATTATCCACTTTTGCAACAGTACATATGACATTTTGTGAAAAATCTGTATGTGATAGAGAAAAAATTATATCATTTTCGGATTCAGTGTACAGGAATTACTGTAGAACATGTAAGACAATAAAACCATAGCAGGTTTGTGTTATTAATAAACTAATAAGCAAGTTGACAAAGGCTCAAGAGCTAGATATTCACAATCTTTCAGCCACGCCTCGAAATCAACGTCCGTTTTCACGAGAAAGACGTCCATGGAAACTGGAACCACAACAATCCCCTTTGACCACATAACCGGTAACCCTTCAAAGCAGCACCAATGGTTTGGTTTGATTTATTTAGAAGTTCGCACAAAGCTAAACGAGGGCTATCTGCGCTAGCCGTCCCTAATTTAGCAGTGTAATACTAGAGGGAAGGCAGCTAGTCATCACCACCCACCGCCAACTCTTGGGCTACTCTTTTAACAACGAATAGTGGGATTGACCATCACGGCCTGTGGCCAGTCTCTAAGGAATTAAAGGATTACAGTACTCTAAATCATTGAAGTGAATGGTTGCATTTCTAAGTTCAACCACTATGGAAACAACAAGGTTATAAAATGTTATAATCCAATATACAAGAAACAGGTGCAAGGTCTGAAAGAAAGGGGTCGGCTCAGGAAAGGTTTAAGAAAGGAGTATAAAAGAAAAAAGTTCAACAAAAAAAAAGAGGAAGGAAAGAGTAGAAGATGTGAGAGAGAAAGAATAAACCGAGAGAGAGGCGAAGGAAAGAAAGTAATATATTGCAATAAGAAACAAAAGCTATTTCTAAGTATACGCAGCATTGATTACCAGTAATAGACAACAGTTTGTTATGCTAACATTTGTATGCGTTAATTGCTGGTATAAATAAATAAGTCCTAAATAAAGTTGAGGGACATAAGAAGGGAAGGTGAAGTGCGTTTATAGCACAATCATTAAGAACGTGGTGACAGTAGTGAGATTCATCAATTCATTAGAAAGTGAAACCCAACAATGAAAGAAGAGTTTGAAGTTGGTACCACATCAACAAAAGTCGAGGATGAAAATAAATTGGTTGAAGGAGTGAAGTTGGGGAAGAAGTTGAAGGAGTGAAGTTGAAGGAAGAAGTTGAAGGAGTGAAGTTGGGGAAGAAGGCAACTTTCCTTATTTGTTCTTATCTTGCCTCTTTTGGTTTTGATGGTAACTCAGTTGATTCTTACTGGTTTATATAAACCATTGTTTAAGAGTATAAATGCTATCATGAATGGAAATTGGAAATCACTGACAAAATGTCAGTTGGTAAATATATGTAGAGAATTGAATATATCACGTAATAGCAACCGAAAAAAAGATGAGTTACGTGAGGTTTTAATTGAGACCGGAGTCACAATAAACGATTTTTATAGCTCTGAGCTTAGTGAAAATACGGTAAATGCAAATGGTGTTTACGAAAGTTATCGTGGCAACAATTTAGAATCTGCTAAGAATGAGTTAGAAATTAAAGGTTTGGAAGCTGAGAATAAATACTTGGGTGTAGATGACTGAGATAAAAAGACATTTAGAGCTAGAGTTAGAAGACAGACATAAGAAGAAAAAATGGAGTTGTTGGTGAGTGGAAGGCAAGGTGATTCAGGTGGTAGGGCTGGAATGCATGAAAGAAGTACTCATGTGCAGTTGCCTAAATTTTGCAAAAGTGACATAGGTGTATTTTTTCTGTGCCTTTGAAAAAATTGGGAGAGCACAAAAATGGAAGCCGCAGGATCTGATGAAGAAATTATTTCCTGAATTACTTGGAGAGGCGTTAGCAGGATACAACAAGACTGGAAACACATACGAATTAAAGTATGGTGCAATGAAATCAGCTATTTTAGAGACGTATGAGTTAAGTCCAGAGATTTATCACATGAAGTTCAGGGATTTAAATGAAAAACGACAAATGATATATTTAAAAGAGTACGGAACAAGGCTGTATGTATTGTTTATTAGATGGAACGAGGGATCTAACTGTACTGAAGATGCTGACAAGATCATAGATTTGTTGTTGCAAGAAAAAAAAATTGACAAAATTACAAACACATTAATATGGTTAAAAGATCCGAGGCCAGCAAATGCATGTGAGACAGTGACATTAGCGGATGGATATGCATGTGAGACAGTGACATTAGCGGATGGATATGTTGGGAGATAGTAGGTTGAGAGTAGGTGAAATTTAAACTCCTATAACTACTTACCACAAACAAATAAAAGTGGATCAGCTCCTTCTGAGAATTATAAGGAGAACATTTCTGCAGAATGAGTTTATAACTAAGAAGAGAAATTACAAACCTCTGCCAAAAAGTTTTATTTGTGACCAGGTTGGGAAGGTAGTTAAATTTTGTATATGGAATAAGGTAACTGTAGCAAAAGGGAGATTGTAATACGTTGTATTGAAGACGTTTAAGTTTGTTTGTAATTAAGCACAAAAATACTCAATGGGCTATCTGTGCTCTTCTCACCATTGGTATCGAAACCCGGATTCTAGCGTTGTAAATCCGCAGACATACCGCTATGCCACTGGGGGACGTATTAAAAACAACGAAAATAACTCGAATAAATATTAAGAAGAAATGACGATAAATGTGCAAGCCATAAGTTCATTAAGGGATAGTGGTAGTTGGAAAACTCTGGTATGAAAAGAGTTAGTAAAATTTTAATCAGCTCCCAGGTGGATTTAATAGGGTTTAATACCGGAACATGAGAGGCTTGGTATACTGAACACTATCTAAAGTAGCATTTAAATGTTGATTTGAAGGTGAAATAGTTGTAAGAGTGGTAGATGGTATCCCACATCCAATATTGCTTGGCAATGTGGTAGAAGAAAGATGCACTGGTAGCAGTGGTAACATGTAGCCAAAGTAGCCAGATAATAGGGGTAGGGGTTGGTGATGAAATAAATCACCAGGCAAATCATACAAATAATGAATTTTTAACGGCTGTTAGAACAGGAAAAGTGGAATGAAAACACATTAATTAATGGCAGTTAGAAGATGCGAGTTTGGATGAATTGCCATAGTGAAACCATTGTAGAAGTAGTGTAAGTAACTACATTCGGTTTAAATTATTATTATTACTGGCAGGAAGGAATGTTGAGGTATAAGTGTTGCCGTAGTGAAACCATTGTGGAAGTAGTGTAAGTAACTACATTCGGTTTAAATTATTATTATTACTGGCAGGAAGGAATGTTGAGGT